TTTCTCTTGCACTTCATAAAAATCCATCACATTTTTTCCCTTTATCTCTTTCCTCATCTCTGCTTGAAGCCCAGAAATGGGGAAAGGGTCGTTACAGAATGAAAATGCTGAGAATCACATCACCTCGGGGTCACGGCCCAGCAGACTGTCACCAGGCTCCTGAGTGAAGAATAGAAAACAGTTTCTAACACACCCTTATTTGCACTCTATTTCTGGAAAACTTTTTTATTTTTGAAATATGTTACCTGCATCTTCCTAACTGATCTTGTTTATAACACTCCTATACAATCTGCATCACTAACAGGCTATGGATAAGGAACCGAGGCTCAGAGAGGTTAAGAAAGTTCTTTGAGTCCCACAGTAACAGAGTCTTCAGGGAGCACGTCTGTCCGTGGGCAGCACTGAGCTGTGACACTTTCTGTATGCCTACAGACACTGATGCTCACTGGAGCCCTCAATCTGGAAAAAGTTAGCAATGCATGGGTTAGATTCTTAACAACATTAACATGATTTACTCCCCCCTCCCCTTTCTGGCAATAACCTCACAAAAGATTAAAAAATGGCCCATACTCACCATTCAGAAGACCGCCTTAATAATATCAGTTTTCCACTTCGTAGCCCTTGGCAGGACGCCCTTTTGACAGATCACAATGTTGGCTCAGGGCCAAGAGATGGTGAGGTTGACTCACAGGTCACTGCAGTTTATAAGAAGTCAGAATAATAAAGAGGAAGGCAGATCTGACATCACTGGCAAGGGGAAAGTTTTGGTGTTGTGCTAAGCAAACTAATTACAGCTAGCTCTGAATAATATGGGAAGAATACAGGGTGATGTTGAACAAAGGGAAAAAGTCTAAAGAGGCAAACCGCTACACAAAGAGCTTGCAAATACTTTCAAAACTATGAACTTTTTATAATATTTATTCTAACGCAGCTATTGTCAACCTGTGTGCCACGAACATTTTATAGGGTCATTAATTATACTATTTTCGAAAGAAGTTCAGAGTATAGTGAGTATATTCTTGTTTTAGCTTTTCTTTTAGCGATATAATTTAAGTGTGCCGCAGAAGTTTAACTATAGGTTCTAGTGTGCCATGAGATGAAAAAGGTTGAACGCTGGCCTAAAGCCAAAGAAAAAAATAGAATCTGCTCATGCAAATACTTCTATTAACTAGTGTGAAAGAGAGGGTGCTTTATGATAAATGATAAATGACAACACATATCCCCACACACACACTTGATTTTTAAATTAGCTTTGCTGCAAGTTGCATATCCAGAGTAAAAAATACCTTTCTTCACAAGCCACTGCATTTAAAAAAAAAAATAAGAAAAGAAAAATTTCAAGATAAGCTCAGCTTTTAAGTTCACTTGGTGAAAACCAAATACAGCTACAATCATTATTAGGTCTTGGTGTGTGAAGGACTCTAAGAGTTAAAAGCAAACCACCACTACCTTTAGCCCACAAGGGATTACTCTTTTATTAGTATAGTCTTGGGATTAGTGGAAATGTCTGTCTAATGAATGCAGCTACTATATTTGAGCACATGCCTGAATAAGCTACTTGTTGATTGAAACCTATCTATTTATAAGCACTTCTGCGTGTTGTGAAAAATACATCTGTATTACCACAGCATGGCCCCCACCGTTTGAATAAAGGCTCTTTGCCATTTCACTGTGGGGCTGTTGAATGATCAGGCAGAAAGGAAGTGTGTTGCATCCACTTAACAAATTTTATTCCCCACGCAAGGCCAGTAGAGTTACCTTTCCTAAACAGCAATTCAGATCGATGTGGATGTTATAAAAACAGAAATGGAAAAATATATATTTTTTTCATCAGACTCACCCATGGTTTTAACCTAGTAGTAGATCTACTATAATTTCAATAAATGGTCAGAAAAGGCAAACTAGCCAGACCTCTGCTTATGTCATAATCTTTGAACTAAGTCTGGGAAATAGGTGGATTTATTACACATTCTTGTTATCATTTCTTTTTTACATTTCTGCTCATGAATACCACACTAGCAGCATGTCCAACAGAAACTAGTATGGCAGGAAAAGAATCACCTTCAAAGATAATTAGGTCAACACTTTCAAGGTTTGGGGTCTTCTTTCCTGTGCTGAGTCTCCACTTGCAGTAGGGCCAACCCTCTACCCCAAATGGGGACTTCCAAGTCCACTCTGGGATTCTACAGTTCTGAGCCCCCTGCTCTGCTCCCCAGTCCTCCACACACACACACCCCCGCCACCGCTCTGCCTCCCAGACTCAGCACCAAGCCTCTGAGCTTCCTGAGTTTGGGTTTTGTGTATTGGGAAGGGCTCCCTTATTCCACTGGAGTTTATTTTCACTCCTCTGCAGGAAATGACCCCGTTTACCATGCTACCTCTGTGGAAAAGGGCTGACAAGAATTTGCTTTAAAATTTTATTTAAAAAGTAAACCATCTTAACAACAAGCTGTTATTGATAAGACGCCTCACAGAATTCCTCTTGGAGAACTATATAAATGATGTCAGGCCAACTGTGCAGGTATCCCATTGTCAGAAAGAGAAGACTAAAATCCAGCGGACCACTGCAAGCTTCGGCACAGCCAGCGGGGAAAACACAGGCTTCAGCAGTCTCTGAAGCCTGGCGACTTCGCTTTCCAGAGCTTGTGGCCCAGAATTTCCTAGTGATACCACAAACTGACTTCTAATAAGGGTAAAAGATGACCCTGGGTACGAGGCCCTGGCACAAAGAGAAGTCAGTAACTTGTAGGTATTATTATCCACACCGGGAAATTCAATAAGATTAGGGGAGTCCATCTTTTCTGTTTTTCTAATTGACAGAGCAAAAGAATAATTCTAAAAACAAAAGAATACTAGAAAACCACAGTTGAAACTTATAAAAGCCATTTGGAAACACAAGTTATTTAATATGTCATGATATGTCAATACACAGCACCAAAAACCCCACAGTAAATGATACATGGTTGTTTCAACAGATACTCTGTTCCTAAGTCTGAAGCTGGGTGAAAGTGTTGTAAGAGATGGGAAGGACTCGATGGATGGTGCTACCGTCACCACACCCATCTTATACATGAAGAAACCAAGAAGCTAAGTGTTAAATGTTAGCAGATGGTAGAGATGAAGTTTTGATTAGAAAACTGCAAGCTTTTCCTAATTTACCCCTATACACACTCGATAATGTTAAACACTCACCTAAGTAAGATTACTAAATATAATAGGTCTATGTCTTTAAAATAGAATATGTCCAATAACTCTCTCTCGTGAGATCATCCCAAGTTAAACGAGGATGCAGGGCAGGAAGTAAATAACAACCCTCTTGTGATCTGGTTTAGTCGTCACGGTTTAGTCCACTAACGACCGTCAATGTTTAGTGGTCACTGACACCCTTCTACCTCAAACCCAAAGGAAAGCAAACAGAGAACCAGAAACTTCTCAAACTTTGAAGCTCTACTTCAGCCTCCCACTTGCTTCTCGAAATCTTTACCCTTTTCAATTTCTTTTCCGTCCATTTTCTATTGGGGTTTGCAGCTTGGTACTGACAAAAAGTTCATCTTAAAACCTTGTTCCAGGCTCGGCGCCTATAGCTCAACCGGCTAAGGCGCCAGCCACATACACCTAAGGTGGCGGGTTCGAATCCCCAGCCCGGACCCACCAAACAACAATGACGGCTGCAACCAAAAAATAGCCGGGCGTTGTGGCGGGCGCCTGCGGTCCCAGCTACTTGGGAGGCGGAGGCAGGAGACTCGCTTGAGCCCAGGAGTTGGAGGTTGCTGTGAGCTGTAATGCCACGGCACTCTGCCCAGGGGGACAGCTTGAGGCTCTGTCTCAAAAAAAAAAAAAAACCTTGTTCCATCCATCCTCTCAACCATCCATCCACCCATCATCCGTTCACCTACCTATTCCTCAGTAGCTTCCATGAAAGATTTTATGTGGACGCTGTTAACTCATGCCACTACCTCATCTTACTGATCTCTCTCTCTACAAGAGAATCTGCTCTGGGGACATAACTTTTTTTCGGTAGCATGATAAGAGAAAAGAGAGCAGGTGGTTGAGGACAGAGAGCACTTAGCACTGGTGAGCGTTCGCAGCCTACATTCATTAACGGAAGAGTTTTTTAAAGACTTTTTTAGTGTTCAGAATGCTGTATATGTTCAGAATACTTTTTGGATCATGAAATTTTTAAATTTCCAAAGGCAGTTGAAACTCACAAAGAAGCTAGGAGTAGAAATTATTCACTTCTTACAAATAAGAACGTGGAAAAAAACAAGGATCAAGTAATTTATACAGGGACCAAAACTTCAGCAACTCAAGCCAGGATTTAGAATTCCTCACTATGACTTTTGTACTAAGATTATTAAGCTCAGCTGCTGCCTTCAATATTTCTTTCCCATAGACTAAGCGAGCGTTTTTCTTTGGCATTTTTGTAATATGGCACCATTTATAGCTCTCTTCCCCCATAATAACCTAATTAAACACAGAGCCAGCCCTACAGCTCCCACACAGTGGGGAGGCAACAGCCTGGTTACTAGTGGCTAATGACTGAGTCAAAATTTGGGTTATGCCACTTTTTTTCGTACATTTTCTTGGTTTAGAAGTTAAACTATGCTCCTATTTCTAATTTAGCCAAGGCTGTATCTTTCTGGCATCTCGAGAAACACAAAACCTCAAGCAGCATCAACACTTCCCTCACCAGGTCCCCTCTTTGTCACCTTGAACAATAAAGCAGCCAATCTAATGAGTCTACAAACTTGTAGTATGTGACTTTCATTTTTTTACTGTTTAGACTAAGGTTTTCCAAAGAATGATCTCATCCATGGGAGGCTGATAGAGAATAAACCTTATGCCAAAAAGAAAACTAACTTATTTGCTCTTTGTGCCCCCAAACCTCAAGAATAAAATGAAAATACTGAATTCAACTGTAACTAGTGCTAAAGAAATTTATTTAATGTATTTGAGAAAGCACAAACATGTAGAAGTATCACAAAACAAGAACAGTTGGCCATAAAACAGAAATTTATTTTAAAAATCAGTATCTTATATTTCATATATACAAACTTATCTTTCACCAGAAGGTAAAAGCACTTCTTCCAGAAACTGCTCTTGGTGTGGTCAATACTGATTTCGAAACTGGTTGCTCAGGTCTTGGAGCTCCACTACCAAGGTGTCCATAGCTGCTATTTCATCAGCTAACTCCCTGGAAATTTCTCCACTGGACACATCTGTAAAAAGTTGCTGCAACATAAAAGAGCAGAACTATCAAAACAATGTACATTTTGGCGACGCCCGTAGCTCAGTGGGTAGGGCGCCAGCCACATATACCGAGGGTGGTGGGTTTGAGCCCGACTGGGCCTGCTAAACAACAGTGACAACTGCAACAAAAAAATAGCCAGGTGCTGTGGTGGACACCTATTGTCCCAACTACACAGGAGAGACTGAGGCAAGAGAGTCACTTAAGCCAGTGGTTCTCAACCTTCCTAATTCTGCAATGTATTTTCACTGTTAAAAAGGGGTCACGACCCACAAGTTGAGAACTGCTGACTTAAGCCCAAGAGTTGGATGTTGCTGTGAGCTGTGATACCACAGCACTGTACCGAGGGTGACATAATGAAACTTTATCTCAAAAAAAAACCAAAAAATAATGCACATTTCTTTAAGATAAAGTAGATACAGAGTATAGTAGATACAGTAAAGTAGATACAGTAAAATGCCCTTCACATAATACCATAAAATTACCATAGCGAGGGCAGTATTTCTTCCGTTCATCATCCTGGAATTGTAGAAGCAATACTAAACAATGAATCAAAACAACATGCCTGAACTTATGAATTCAAATGAGCTCTGCCCTTCAGAGGAGTTACCTAAGTACTGGTTATTCATTTCAGTGATTCAGGGTGGTAATTGGGTGAACAGACATTATTCAAACAAACCAAATGAATGTATCCATTGCGTATGTAACCACAATAAATACATTTTATATTCAAATTCATATACATCATACTCTTCATGATACTTATTTGAAAATTAATTTTGGCTTATGCCTCAGAAGCCACAAAGATCATCAAGATTTGGTAAAAGCAAAAATGCCCAGCAAAATAAAATAAAAATAGATGTGCTCTCTCCCTGGAAAGGGAATGGCCTTGAGAGGTTTATTGCAACATATTTCAATAATGCTACCCCAACTGAAAACATTTTGAAATGCCTTTCCAGGAATTCCCTGCTGAGCCAACATAGGCACCCAAAAAAATTAACTTCAGGCTCGTATGACCACATTTTGTGTGTGTGTGTGTGTATACACATGACTGTGTGTGTGTTTTATTCAGAAATATAATTTACTTAGCTTGCCATATCTTTTCCATCAGGTTTGACTACATAATTTATACAGCATTTCATGAGAGAATGACAAAGAAACTGCTGTGATGTAATCAGTAAAGAAAACTCCTTTCAGGAAAATAATCTGGCTTCACACTGCACACGTGCATCTCTCTGTGTGTGTGTGTGTGTGTGTGTGTGTGTGTGTACATAGGGTGCAAAATTGTATACAAATTTTGAGAAAGAAAAAAATGGTATTAAAATCGTAATGCTCAATATATACTAATTACAACAGATGAGTACAAGCCATGTTTGACTTCTGCAGTTACAAGAAGTGCTCCAAGTGGCTGCCATCGGCGTCCAGACACTCTTATTAGGAGAAACTACTGTATGGGGAACAGCCCCCTCATGCCACTGTCAGCAGCAAAGCTGTACAAGGACAGGGTGCTAAGGGCAGAGGAGTCACCCTGTCGTGACAACACAGCCTGGGTGATTTCTTAGATGAGTCTCTAGATTCTAGGAACTGATTTCGTGAAGTCCCTGGCCTGGCAAGACCACACCTACTGCAAGCTATTCAACTTGGTTATCTGAATTTTCATGTTTTAGATCACTAAAAAAAATATAGAAAAGGTAGACGAGCTACTATAAAACCAGAGACTGCCAAATACTGTATGTGAAAGACTGCCTCAAAGGAGGTGTTGGGAGGCCATTTACCCCATTTCTGGATGATCCAGCTGGGATCTAAACATAGACGGGGATCTGAGGCTTCGTTCTCAGGACCTGAGCGTCTAACACCACACAGAAGGATGTGCAGTGCCTGCACAGACACTGCTATTCAAGGCATGTCAGCACAGACTTAGGCAAAGTCACAACTTATACGAAACAGCTTCAGGCTGGGCTCAGTGGCTCGCCCCTGTACTCCTAGCACTCTGAGAGGCCAAGGTGGAAGGACTTACGAGTTCAGCAAGACTTCATCTCTACTAAAATTAGAAAAATTAGCCTGGTGTTGAGGCGGATGCCTGTAGTTCCTGCTACTTGGGAGGCTGAGGCAGGAGGATCTAGCCTGGGTGACGGAGTGAGACTCTGTCTTCACCCCCCACCCGCCTCCCCCAAAAGGCTTTGCACAGAGATAAGGGAACTGGAGGAGTATGTCCTGAAGAAATAAACAGTTGTGGCTGGGTTAGTGATCTAATCAAAAGTAGGAAAGTTAGTTCCCAGTTTGGGAAGGAAAATCACAGAAAGGGCTTGCTGCTCTGACTTTGAGAAAATTCTTGCAGACTTCCAAGAGACACGTAACTGCAATTACACAGCCAAACTGGGAGGAAACACAGTTCTCCTGCGTAGCATGGATGTAAACAGGGATAGTAAAGTAAGCTAACTATCTAAAGAGGCAAAAATGATGTCTCTTGAAAAGATCAGGCTTTTATACGAGAGTGAAACAGTGTCCAGAAGTGGCCTCCATGTGCTTGACGTTTGCTCTTAGAAGGGAGTTAAAATTAGTCTGCAACCCAAGGTGAAACAGAAAAAGCAAGGAAAGATTAGGAAAGAACTACTAAACTATGCTAGTGTTTTCATCTAAACCAAAATAATTTTTTTACTTAACTAAGTCTTTTTCTAGAAAACATTACATCACTACCATAAATGCAAAATCAGTGACAACACTAAAAAATTACAGGATTGATGTGCTAGTTCTACTTTTCTCTACCAAGTAATAAAATAAATATATATGAAAATCAAAAGTTTACCCAAGTGCCCAAGTGGCATTTATGCCACACTTCAGGGAAAGTGAGAAGACAGCATTGTATTTATTTACTTTCAAGAATGCATTAATTAATTAATTATTTCGAAGCCTCCTGCGTTGCCCATATTTAGGACTGCATAGCCACTGGGCAGTAATATCCTCACCCACACAACCAACTACCTGGGGGCTGTCATCTAAACTACAGCATGTCCTAAAATGACCCCTGACATACAGGAAGACTGAAGAGCAAGAACCTCACCACTCTCACCTTAGCTTTAGACAGCAGGCCCCGCAAATTGAGTCGAACTGCAGAAAGCACCTGAACAGCTTCTTGAGGGCTGGCTTTGTTCCTACTGCATTTTACAGCCACTGGAAGATAAACGTGGGGGCGGGCAATGACAATGACAATGACAATTTGCATACAAAAGTCAATTATTTAATTAGAATTGCATAGTAACAAATCTAGGAATTATATTTACCTAAAAAGTTTTTATTTTTGAAAAAGGATAATAATTATTTGCACAACTCTTCCCTCCATCCTTCTTTAAGAAAGATACTTTACTGCTGAGGGGAATTTTGGGTGAGTTCTGGGTGAGTTACAGATTTTTGAGAAGAAACCACAGGCACCAACACACACACATTCATGCACACACCCGCACACATGTGCATGGACTAATGAAGTTAGGGAATGGGACAAAATGTTATTGAAAATAAGGTGTCCCCAGAGACAAAAACAGATGCAGCATATCTCAGTGTGGCTTTCCAGGATACCAAGTCCTTCCTAGGGACTCCACAGTTGCTGTGACACTGACCCAAGGAACTGGCATGCCATATACACACAGCTCGATTCTTACTACATTTTCATATGCAGAGTTTACAGCACCATTCTGGAAGAATCAACCCACATGTCTTCCTTTAGGGAATGTGACCACAACTGGGTTCCTGCCTTCCTGAGCAATGCCTGGCGTCAGCAGGGAATGGGACAGTAAAGTCACTCATCCATGACACAGCCGCCTCTGTAATTTTCCTAAAACTTGAAATTATGTAGAAGGCGCACTCCTTCCTGGCAGAATGCCCAACCATTAATGCTTTATAGGAACAAGTGAAGAACTCTGTACCAATTTGCATATAATGCCTGACATTTTCCCACTGATTTCTTCATGGTTTTGTCCCCCAAATAATGCTTACTAAATTCAAACAGACAAACAACCAGATCCTATTCCAAAACCACCACACCAAACAGTGCAAGGATTAAAGTCTACTTCATGCCCTGGACTGTAGACCAAGATTGAAAACTACATTTCTTTTTCCATGGGAACTCTAATCAATTGGTAGAGGCTGCTGTACCTGGCAAACAGAGTTCTGTCATTAATTAATAATACCTTCCACGGCCAGCAAGAGCTCGTTTTGGCATTCCTATTTCATAATAAAAATTCGACTTTGATGCTTTTCAGCTAAGAGTTGAAAGGACACATGATAATTAGCAATTTTAATGCCTTTTTTTGTATTTACAACACATATATTTGACAAGACAATATTTAGAGTAGATGTAAAAGTACAAATCAAAAAAAAAGACGAGCAACCCAATCAAAAAAATGGACAAAAGAAACAGGCGAACAATGAACAAAGATGGAGGAGACACAGAACAAAGAACATAAACATGTTTACCCTTATTAGTGACTAAAATAAGGATTTTGAAATGCCATTTTCAAACGTCACAGTTAACCAGAGATGGTGCGGATTACGATGTCTGTTTATGTCAGTAGAAGAGAGTTGTAACTGCCATAGCAGAGGCATTTGACCTGTTTGATACCTAGCAGCTTGTATCAGAAACAGCTGTGATTCTTTTTTTAATCCTTTATTTTCAATCTGAGAAAAACAAAAATAGAGCAAAAAGACAAACACATACTCTTTTAGCTTCCCTCCTCAATCCCACTGAGAGAGAGAAAGGAAAGAAGGGGCGAGAGAGGGGGAGAGAAGGGGAGAGAGGGGGAGAGAGAGAGAGAGAAATAACCTGCTGTTTGAAACCATCAGAAAGTCTCAGAGAGCAGTAGCGGTGCAACCTCTGCAGAGACTATAGTTAAAATGCATAAATATTATTTTAAAAGTTCACAGACAGCAAAGAAGAAAAAGTGCTTTAGCCCACCCTTTTCCAGAAAATAAAATAGCATAAACTGTGAACGAAGACCCTCCAGACAACACAGACGGGCACACGAGGACATTTTCACAGACACGTCTCAAATACTATATCAAGACTGCAGTATCTTATCAAGCTTTCTGAAGTACCTGGTTACTCTTGACAATGCCAGCCCAAGGAGTAACCCAGGTGGAGACTTTAAAAACTGTTACACAGTCATGTGTTGCTTGATGATGGGGATATGTTCTGAGAAACGTGTTGTTAGATTTCCTTATGGTGCAAACCTCACAGGGTGTATGCAGCCCTACATGATACAGCCTACTACACACCTAGGCCATCAGGTGCGGACTGTGCTCTTAGGCTACAGCACGGGACTGCACTGAATACTGCAGCAACTATAACACAACTGGGCGACTATAACAACTGCAGCAACTATAACACAACTGTACATATTGGGATTTGTACATCTAGATATATCTAAACATGGAAAAGGTACACTAAAAATACGGTCTTATAACCTCCTGGGAGCACTGTTGTGTACGTGGTCCTCTGCTACCCACAATGTCATTGTGCGCTGGATGACTGCATTTCCTGTTCAGAGTTGGGTGTGGTGGAGGAGCAGTGTTAGGGAGAAAGACAAAAAAGAGACTAGAACAACATGGAAACCCAGCTCATTCTTTGCTTGAGCACAGGTATATAAAGCAGCAAAGAAAAGGGTAAGATTTAGTTTTGTGGTTTTGTAAATCTAAAATATCATTAGAAACTAAAGCTAGAGGCTGGGCGCAGTGGCTCACACCTGTAATCCTAACATTCTGGGATTCTGGGAGGCCACGGCAGGTGGATTGTCTGAGTTCAAGAGTTGGAGACCAGCCTGAGGAAAAGTGAGGCTCCATCTCTAAAAGCAGGCAGGCATCGTGACAAGTGCCTATAGTCCCGGCTACTTAGGAGGCTGAGGTAAGAGTAAGAGTATCTGGCTCAGCACCTGTGGCTCAAGTGGCTAAGGCACCAGCCACAT